GGGATGTCAACGGCCATATACTTCATCCACTTTGCCATGGCGATACGAGGCCTACATAGTCATTTTATCACCCTTGAACATCAGCATACAACACTCCACACAGACAGCAAATGACACAGGAGTGGGCACACAAAAATCGATACCTTTTCCCTCACAGCTCCTACACAGATAGAAGATAGAAAGTTGTTGTTTGCCATGGAGTCAGACCTGACCTATTGCTGACTCCCCATGGATTTTCAGAAGCAGCAAATCATACAAGAGGAGATCGTCCATCTGTCCTCCACAGAGTAGCTGGTAGATTCAAACTGCATGCCTTTGAGATTGCAGCATAGCTTCTTGCCACTGGGCCATTTCTGCTGATCTATATATGGTACAAATAATTCACAATAAGATTCACACACATGCAGATGCACTCAGACATCTGTGAACATATGTTGTTGTTGTTGTTGTTGTTGTTAAGTGCCGTCGAGTCGCAGGCGACTCATAGCAACCCTATGAAGGAGAGTCCTTGACACTTGGGTGCCTTTCATCCTCTCTCAAAGTTCATAGGGTTTCTGGAGTGGATGCCACTCCTCCTTCCACGCTTGTTTAATCGGGGAGCCCCACCCCACTCTCAGTCCGCATTGGGTAGCCAACCATTAATGCATTTGACACATCCATGTCACAGTGTTCAGCCTCACAGCAACCACAAGTGACTGCAGGATGGCAACTTGTACACCAGGGCTATATGACCTAGAGGAATGTCTGCACAAAAACAATGAAAGACTGGTCTGAGGGCCGCGAACTAAAAGTCACCCACCTTTGTCTTGGTCACATCGTTTCTCTTCACTGGGCCAGCTGATATCTCTCTCGCTCTCTCTCTCTCACTCTCACTCTCTCTCTCTCTCACTCTCTTTCTCTCTCTGCTGTGAACATATATGTTGTTGTAATTGTTGTTAGTCCCATTGAGTCAACTGTGAACGAAAGTGACCCTATGAACCTTGCCCCATCTTGTACCATCTTCCCCATCACCAATATACTTGCTCTCATGATCACAGGCACCCTGTCAATCCATTTTGTTGAGGGTCTTCATCTCCTATGCTGAGTCTCCACCTTTCAAAGCATGATGTCCTTCTCCAAGTACTGGCCTCTCTGTACATGCCCAAAGCATTTGAGACAAAGTTTCACCATCCTTGCTTCCAAGGACCAACCTCATTGTACTTTCACTAAAGTAGACTTGTTTATTCTCTTGGTAATCCATGGGATATTCAGTACTCTTCTCCAGCAGCACAACACAAAAAAACATCAATTCTTCTTTCATCGTCTTTAATCATTGTCCAACTCTCAAATACGTAGCAAGTAATTAAAAAGACTATGACTTGGATCAGGTGTACCTTAGTCTTTAAGCTGACATTATTGCTCTTCAGCACTTTAGAAAGGTCCCTGACATGGGGAGCTCTTGTGGCCTAGTGGCGAGAAGCTGCACTGCGATCCCAGAGGCGTACGGTTTAAATCCACCAGATGCTCTGCCGAGGAAGGAGGGACAATCTCCTCCTGTACCAGTCAGATCTGATTTGATGGTACATACACATAAAAATAATAAAGTAAAAAAAAAAAGAAAGAAAGGTCCCTGACAGCAGATTTTTCCCAGTGCAGCTTTTGATTTCTTGACTGCTGGCATCCAGTATGTTGATTGTGGATCCAAATAATTTAAAATAATTGACAATTTCAATCTTTTCTCCATTTATCATGATATCAGGTCTAGTGGTAAGAAATTGCGCTGTAATCCCAAAGGCACATGGTTCAAATCGACCAGCTGCTCCACAGGAGAAGGATGGGCAATCTCCTCCAGTGTAATTTGTTGTTGTTGTTGTTGTTGGTGTGTACCATTGAGTCAAAACTAACTTTTACCTGACCCTCCAGTGGGTTGTCAGAGGCCATTAATCCCACATGTAATTTACTGCCTCTGAAGACCTGCCTCTGAAGACCTGCTGAAGGGTCAGATATGAGCTGGTTCCAACTTGATGGCACCCAACCACATCATGATGTTGCCTATTGACCCAAGGTGAGGATTTTAGTTGAACATACATAGTAATGGCCAACATTTCTTGGGCATTAACTCTATCTACATGCCACGCATCTCCGATTCTGGAAAGGGTTAAGCCGGGTGGCTCCTTGGAGGCAAGGATTCTGAGGCTCCGTCTAACTTACTTTGGACATGTTGTGAGGAGAGACCAGTCCTTAGAGAGGGACATCATGCTTGGGAGGGTGGAGGGACAGCGCAGGAGAGGAAGGCCCTCTATGAGGTGGATTGATTCAGTGACTGGGATAATTGGGATGGGAGTGTCAGAGACAGTGCGATTGGCACAGGACAGAGCGGAGTTTAGGGCTGTTGTACATAGGGTCGCTATGAGTCGCAGGCGACTCGACGGCACATAACAACAACAACAACACATGCCACGCTCAGAACTAAGTGCATTACATATGTTACCTTAATTAACCTTTAAAACAGCAATATTAAAAAGATGTAACTATTTCCTAACCTTATTTTACTAAGAAGGAAATGAGGTGCAGATATAGCAAGTAACTTCCAAAGATAGACAGTCTAGCTCCAGGGTCCACATTCTGACCCTCTTTGCTGCTCTGTATACCCAGTTACACACACACACACACACACACACACACACACACACTCCTGAGACCAAGAACAATGGGTTAATGCACAGCAGGAACGAATGAGCCAGACCACAGCGCCCGTGATGCCTGAGGGCACAGCACTGCCTACCCCTTGAAAAGCAAAGCCTACACTTTAACATTAGCAGGGGCCAGGTAAGGGCTGGTGACTAAACTCTGCCTCCGTGTTGGCACAGTCAGGACTGGAGGAGGCAAAAGGCATAGCGCTGGAATAGGAAGCGGTGAAGTCACCCACAGCCCAAGCCCCCTCAAGTCTGGAGGTGGGGAGTAAAAACCCCCAGATCTGAGGAGGCCAGGCACCAGACTGGGCCTCCTTACCCTCCTCCATTTGACACTATTCCACTCCCTCATCATCCCCCTTCCCCTCCTTTCCTCATTCTTTCACACGCCATCTCATCCCCTCTAATCCTTCCCTCCTACCCTATCTCCCTTGCTCACCCTGCGCTCTATCTCCCCTCCTCATCTTCTATTCCATTTACTCTCTGTCCCCTGCTCCATCAATTCCCCTCACCACACCTTATCACCCTTCTCACCCCAATTCTCTTCCTTTCTTTACACCTCATATCCTTTTACCGTTGGGATCCCCACACTGAATGCTTAAAGACAGATAATGAGAGCTAGTCAGTCCTGGCCCCAAGAACCCTAGACGCCTCCATCTGAAGGCTCTCTGTCCTAGGTGCTGATCTTCTCCAAACTTTAGTTTCCAACTCTACACTGTTCGAATGGCCTCATGGGGCCTGTCTCTGCAGTGGAGCAATAAAGTGAGAGCCACTGCCCTGGCCTGTCTTTTGTCCTCAAACCCCCAAAATTTACCCCCTCCCCCTCTTCACCCTCGGATTACCCCCTCCCCACCCCCGATCCCTCTAGCACAGATGGGCCTGGGAGACAGTGACGTGGGCGCCAGGCACCGTGTCTGCTCAAGCGGCGGCTTCCGCTGGCGGCCGCCTCCGCAGACCCGCCTGCTCTGAACAGCGGGGACACTGAGACTGAGGTTTAATGGGGAGAAGGGGGAGCACTGAGAAAGGATTCTGAGGGTTTCAAGAAAAGGGATCTTGGGGACCTGAGATGAAAGTTTAAAGCAGAGAGCTAGGATAGGGGAAAGGAGCACTGTGGCTCAATGCTTAAGCATTCGGCCTCTAACTGAAAAGGTGGCAGTTCAACACTACCAGCAACACAAAAGGGGAAAGAAGTCAGATTACATAAAGGTCTGGCAAACACTGTGGGACAGTTCAACACTGTCCTATATGTTCACTCTGAGTCTGGATCAACTCCAGAGCCATGGGGGTTAGGACAGATGATGACAGAGATGGGGTTAGGATATGGGAGATGACAGGAGCAGAGAAAAGATTAAGAATAGCACAGGATAGAAGAGGAATGAGGCGAGGAATAGAAAGATCATAGTGGTCACGAAGAGGTAACAAAGGGGGAACTGAAAGGCTTTGTCATATAGGGTCACTGTGGGCCAGAACTAACGAGCAGCATTCAACAAATAACTACAAAGTGCAGGAACTCAAAGGAGAAGTAGGATGAAGGTTTAAATGGAGACCAAAATAGAAGACTGTGGGGGTTGCTGAAAAGGGGCTGCTCACAGAAGGAGGTTTTTCTAGGATTAGAGGGTTACGGAGTGGATGAGAGGGGGTCTTAGAAATGAAATGGAGACGCTGAGCCTGGGGGCAGCTACCCAGGTGCTGATGAGAGATCATAAAAGTACTTCAAGTCTGCTTGACTGCTGAGGTCTTATTTGACGTTTAGTGTGTGCCATGTCAGGTCACCCACAATCAAGGTAAGCAGAAGCTTAATCAGGTCAGGTTTAATTCCAAGAAAGGCAGGTGAAACGGCATGACCTTTTGACCCTGGGGTGGGGACTACACCTCCCAGAGTGCACCGTCTCCCTCTTCCTCACCCTCCTAAAAGAAAGAATGTTCAGTGTTACAGCCAACTGGTGGTGGGTGCCGTTTTCCTTTAAGGCCGCCCTTGACGTTGCACTGATTCCAGAAGGTTCTCCCAGGATTCGAGCCGTGGCCAGTACGTCCCACCTTCTCAAACCGGAGATTGGACTAATATAGTTGCCCCAAGCTTGAGACTGAGCCCTATCGACGAACCAATAAAATCAAAGGGCGCGTGGAGTTGCCGCCCTCAGTTCCTTTCACCAATGACAAGACAAGAAGACGAAGAGGTGTGATTGATTGATCCCTGGATGCACCAATCAGACCCACAGCAGTCATTGCCTGGCATGTGTGCGCGTGTGGCCGGGTGACAGAGGCGGACTATGGGCGGCTCTCACCGAGCACTCGTTCAAAGATGTCCAATCACAGCAGAGCCTGCGCTGAGTGGCAGGCAGATGACGCAATGGACGATAGGGAGGCGGAGCCGTGGGGGCGGGTTCCCCGTGCCGCTGTCGGCCGCCGGCGGGCAGGCGACTCCTGTCCTGAGTGGAGGCGGCGGAGCCGGAGCCGGGGGAGGGGTCAGCGAAGATCTGACGGACCGCGGCGGTGCCCGCAGCTCCTCACTGGTGAGGGCGCTGAGTCCCTGGGGCGGGGGCATCACGAAGGCAAGGGTCTGGGTGTCAAGGGGGAGGGGAGGGAGTTGGGACACTGAGGGCCCAAAGGCTCTGCGATAGGGGTGCGGGGACTCGAGGTCCGCGAAGGTGCTCAGTGTCCGCGACCTGGGTTCGGCTCCCATAAGGGGCAGCCCGTGTCCGAGCTTGGGGTGGGAAGGGTCGGGTTTGGTTCCTCGGTGCAGAGGCGCTCCTGAAGCCGCCCAGCCAGCCAGCGCGGGTGACATCACCGACCACCCTTCCCCGCCAGCCCCCTCCCCCCTCTCTTTTCCCCCTCCTCTTCCTTCCCTCACCCCTCCCCTCCTCCCGCTGCCTTTTGTCCGGGCCCCGAGCTGCTCGGGGGGGCCCCCCCCACGCCCCTCCCCGCCCATCTGCGAGGGAGGAGACTCCGTCAGTGACTTCATTGAGTAGGTTCTTGGGATTGGGGTCGGATCCTCCCCTGAGAGAGGAACTGATTGCCTTCCGGGCCCTCACAGACAATCACACCTGTCACAGGTACACACGCTGCCACTCACGAGCACACGATCGCACTGCCAGCCTCACTGCCACACACCGTCACTCACAATCAGCCAGGCACTGCCGCACCTGAAAGCAGGTGGCAGCTGGACCCCATCCTTTCGTGCCACACCTGAGGATCGAGTCTGACTCCTGCTGTGCCAGTCAGGCCTGGCTGGGCAAGTGCCTCTGGGATTCCGAGGCGGTGGCTTCCAGAGCTGCAGCGGTCCCCGCGGGCTCCCGTGGAGCAGCCAGAGGTGAGGGGCTTGGCTGGGCATGTTTAAGCGCACAGTGCTCTCCTGCCCACCCCCAGCAGCACCCCCACTCCAGGAGGCACGAGGAGCTTTCCGGAGCTTCCCACACTTCTGGGGAGAAGACTTCTTAGCCAGCTTGATGTTTAAAATTCAGCTGGAGCCCTTAAAACTTCGAGCGTGGACGCTGAATGGGTTTGTAAAGTTTCGGTAAGTCCCTCCTGAGAAAGGCGCTCACACCCATTCCAAATCAGACTCTCCCATCGGCCAGCTCCCTCCATTGCCCACCTGCTCCCTTCATCCCATCCTCATTTCAGAGCCCGTTAAAGTCAAGATTCCCATTTCTACCTCACCCTGCATTCCTTCACATGGCAAACTTGTCAGGCAGCCATTGTCCATCTGCATCTCCTTCCATGTTTCAACTGTCTGTCTCTCCCTTTTAACCCTGTCAGGCCCCATTTTTCACTTGAGCCATTTCCATGCCGTCCTCATAGTCCTCTATCAGTATTTCATTTTCTGCATCGACCATCTCCCCTTGTTCTACCCCTGCCATTCCTCCCCATTTTTCACCCCTGCCCCTACATTAACATCCTCTCCATTTTTCTCCATCAAAGGCAGTGCCATGCCATGGGGGTTCCTTTGTCATTTCAGCACATGGCTTGTGGGTAATGGAAGGCAGGAAAAAAGGGAGGGAAGGAGAAGGAATAAAAAGAAGCAGTTTCTGAGAGCTTGCTCTGTGTGTGTGTATGTGTGTGTGAAGGTTTGAGAATTATGGGGTCCAGAGCAGCTAGCAGGTGGGTGCCAGAGAAGAAGCTGGCTGAGTGAATAGGTAATGCAGGGACAAGAGAAGGGTGGGTGGAGTAAGTACCCATTGCCTGGAAGCTGCTAGAGCTCTCTGGGGTACCCTTTTAGTATGCTAGGGTTCCTTCCGAATCCCAAAGGAAACAAAGTGTGGGCTGAGGCAGAGATGGCAGGCCACCACCACCACTACCCCCCACTCCCTCAATCCAGCTTAGACGGATTTTACTGCTGCTTCCGAAAATGGCTGCCCTCCCCCAGATGCTCTTTCTTCTTTGCCTCCCCCAACCCCAGCCTCCCCCACCAGGCGTGACATGCTGGTGGGGATGATGGGGGAGTACCCAACTTTAATGGAGCCTTCTCTTCGTCAGAGTGAGGTGACTCCCAGAGCCATGAGTCAACATAGCCACCTGCAACAGGCCCTGTGGGGGCAGGAACTAGGACCATTGTCCCCGCCTACCTAGAGACACAGAGGGCCTCCCCTTACCTAGTTACAGCTCTGACTCCTGCTAGGGCATCCTCATACACCCCACTGCTCTGAAGCAGCTAGAGGCAGGAAGATAGGCCCAAGATGTGGCTACCAGCCCAGGATATTGCTAGAAAGACTCTGGTTTCTCCCAGCTTTGTCAGGAGTTGGCCAAATCTCAGAAGAGCTTCTGGCCATTTCCCCCAGGTAACTCTAGCTAAAGGAAAGTCCCCCCTCCTTTTATATCTACCACCTACACATGGGTAGAAAGATGGACAAATGGAAGAATTAGAACCCTATCCTCTGTCTTACACACCAAATAACCTAGCACCTAACCTGGAAAAGACCATCACAGAAGTGTGGGTCTGGCACTAAGCCAGATCCTGAGCCACTGGTGAGGAAGGGGGTCAAGTCAGAGAGAGACTTGTAGGGAAGGTATTAAGGAAATGGTGCTTAATGCCCAGCTGTCTCCTAACAGCTAGGGGTTTAAAAGATCTGACCCCCTGGGATGCTTTTATTCATCAACACTGGTGTGTAGGCAACACAGACATGGCTTCACACAGTTTTGTGTGAAGACACTGGGAGATGAGTGAAGGGATCTGTTACCCTGGTTAGAGGAAAGACCTTGTCACCCTCTCTGTAGATGAAGGAGTTAGAAGTAGCAGTTTTCAAAGGCTGTGAGTCATGCTGTGATCTGAGTCACACGTGAGGGGTAGGTTGAGGGCAGCCTAAGAAGGCCTAGGGTCACCAGTGGCAGAGAGGACTCCAGGCATCCACACCCTCACTGAGTCTGGCTGACCAGGACAGTTGGATGAAATCCCAGGTCTGTCCCCAGTCCTGGGCCATTGCCCTAACTGCCCTCAGCCTGGGCACCATGCCTGAAGCATGGCGTAGGAGACCATGATGCTCGAGTGACCTCACTCAGTCCACTGATCTTCACCAGCTTCTGTGTGTGAACCTGTCAGTCCATGGTTGAGCCTAACTCAGCAGGGCCTCTCAGGGTCCTCAGAGTGACCCAAGGAAGTGGACTACAACCTCTAGCTTCCTGCTGGGAAAACCCAGGAACTGAGGAAGAATCCCAGAATCTTGGAATGTCAGAGCTAGAAGAGATCATCTAGTCCATCCTTTTCATTTTACAGATGGGGAGACAGAGGCTCAGAGAACAGGCATGACCTGCTGAAGGTCACACAGTGAGTCTTTTAGGGACTGTAGTATCGTCAGGAGGCAAGGCTAAGGCAGGAGGGGAGCAGGAGCTGGGGCATCAGGGATTTTTTCCCTGCATTTCTTTCAGAAACAAGGAGACCAGTGCCGGTCCAGTGGCTGTGATGGGAAAGGATTATTACAAGATTCTTGGAATCCCTTCGGGAGCCAATGAGGATGAGATCAAGAAAGCCTATCGGAAGATGGCCTTGAAGTATCACCCAGACAAGAACAAAGAGCCCAACGCTGAGGAGAAGTTTAAGGAGATTGCAGAGGCCTATGATGTGCTGAGTGACCCTAAGAAACGTGGCCTGTATGACCAGTATGGGGAGGAAGGTAAGAGGGCAGTGCTCCAGCCTGATGCTGAAGCCCTGTCCCTGTCTGGGGTCTGGGGTGAACCAGTAATCACAGTAAGGAACTGGAGGCTGAAGAGGGGGTGAGTGAGGCAGAAGAGACCATCCCACTAGCAAGTCTTACCACATTTCTCTCCCCTCTCTCTGTCCCCCTTCCTCCTCAAGTTCAGGCCTTAGAGAGGTTTGATTAGGTGCTTAGAGCTAGAGGCCTTCCCCTTTTTCCCAGCCTTATTAGTCCTGTCCCAAATCCCTGCTGCTTCATTGGCTGCTGGGGTGAGGGAGTGTGGGGCTCCCAAAGGACAGGACATTTACACCCATCAACATATAAATTTGGCCCTTAAGTGGCCTGGGAATTAACCACTGGAGCTCTGGGCAAGAGAAATAGTTGCCTCCCTGCCTGTCACATTTCAGAAAGCAGAATAGAGAGGTAGAGTTTTGCCTCTTCCAGAGGAAGTGGCAAAGATCCAAGAGTGGAAAAGGAACTGCTGCTGGCATCACACCCCCTCCCCGGGGTAGCTGGTGGCCACGCACAGGGCAGCAGGAAAGGTCCAAATAAAGCCTCTGAGAGGGTGGCCCCTCCCAGCACATCCCACGGGCATGATGTAGCTGCTAATTCTGGGCCTACCCCTCAGGGCCGCCTGCCATCCGCCAGCCACAAGCACCTGTCAGGCTATATTAAGAGACATTGTCACAGCTGAGGACTCTCCTTCCCGAGAGGAACTGTCCTTACTCCCTAATGGCATTCCCCCTTTCTTTAGCATTCTCCTCTGCCTCCTCACCCTCCTAAAAATTAAATGGGTTAATGATATGTACTGTTCTAATGCCAAGTAAGTGCTCAAAAGGATTTTTCCCTTCTCCTTCCTTCCTTCTCTGCTCACCCTCTGTGCACCCTAGTCCTCCAGCTCCCACTCCTTATTTTCTAATTCTTTCCACTCCCCCCCTGCTTACCTCTTAAATTTGCCAACTCCCAGATTCACTAGGCATCTGCTAGAATGCCCAGTATCCTTCCAACTGAGAACTTTTTCTCTTTGGGGCTGAGAAAGGAGGGGTGGGGAATAGCGAGGCCATGCAGACACCATGCCACCATGTGACCTGTCTAGGAATTGCACACATTCCTCCCCTGGGGCTCACCTTTGTTTAGGAAGAAAAGTGAGAGCCGAGAGAGCTCCACAAAAACTTCACAGGTCCTGCTTTACCAAGCATAAGGGAAAGGCATAAGCAAACAGAGTTGGGTGCAAACCCCAGACTAAAGGGCTTCTGCGGATGCAGCACAGCTGTAAGTGAACCTCCAGGGCCTTGGGTAGAGAAGCAACCTTGTAAATGTTTATATTTCTGTCTACCCTGCTTCCCTCCCCAACAGCCAGTGAGATCAAATGTCCACACAGATTCAGGGAACAGCCCTGGCTGAGGACAGGTTGTTCCGGGCTTAAAAAGGGGCTGGCCATGTATAACAGGAATCCCTACAGGGAGATATTATCGCCTCCTGTCATCAGTCCAACCTCCCTCTTCCTCTGTCTTCTTGAACTTACATGATAACAAGTCCCTTCCCAAGACCCTCCATAGAAGAAATAGACCCTGGTTCTTGGGGGAACGGTGAAAGGGCAGCTTAACTGCCTGCCATTTGGCCTCTAGGGAAACTCAGATCTGCCCAGTGGGTTTTGGAAACAAGAGACCAATTGAGTAGGTTCAGACTTCCCAGGCCAAGTGGAGTTCTTGAAGGAAGACCTCAAAGAAGAGAGCCTCTTCCCCCAGCCTGAGTTCTACTCCTAAGCCTACAAATTCTGGATCAGTTCTCAGTGTTAATAATGTACTCTTATTTCCCCTTCATCCGTCCCTCTTATACTCCCATGAAGGCTGCCTCTGGGAACCTGAGCCCCTGAGACAACTGGGCTCTTGACGTGTCAGCCCATTTGTACACTGTGACAGTCCAAACCCATTGTGAAATAGCTTCTCGTCTTCCTTCTAATTTCCCATTTGGACAGAAGTCAGAGGACAGGGAAATACTGCAGAATTAAGAATCAGCTTCCTTTCTGGCCTGTGTTATGACAGGCCACTTACAACCTCCCCCCTCCCCCCACTCAAATCCTACGTGATTGTTTCTTGCCCTGTATTTCTCTAGAAAGATTTGGGAGCCGGGTATGACTTTTAATGTGATCCTGGGCCAGCGGATCAACTATTTGGTTAAGAAGTCTCTAGGCATGTTGTTGTTAGGTGCTGTCCAGTGAGTGTGACTCACAGTAACCCTATGAACAACATGGAAAAGATGACAGACTGGAGGTCACATCTCTACGTTCTCTGTAGGCTTTTCTGATAATTGGGGTCCTCAGTCTCTTTGAACTCAAGACATCTGGATACTGGGCTAGCTTTAGCTCAGCAGGTTCCTGGACAAAAGCATCTTGTTGGAGACCCATGGGCACTATCCAGCAGCCCTTGGGGGGAAAAAGGAAAATGGAAGGGAAAAGATATTTGTTATTATTAAATATGTAATTAAGAGGAGAAATTAATCCTGCCAGTGGCATCACTTCCTTTGTCATCCTGACCTCTCGGGTAATTTGTCGAGGAGAAGAGACTGTGGAGCTAGCCTGCGCCGTACATACTGCCCTAACCTCTCCTCCCTCCAGGTCTGAAGACCGGCGGTGGTTCCGCAGGCGGCTCCAGTGGCTCCTTTCACTACACCTTTCACGGGGACCCCCACGCCACCTTTGCGTCCTTCTTTGGTGGTTCCAACCCCTTCGATATCTTCTTTGCCAGCAGTCGCTCCACTCGGCCCTTCAGTGGCTTTGATCCCGATGACATGGATGTGGATGAAGATGAGGACCCATTTGGTGCCTTCGGCCGCTTTGGCTTCAATGGGCTGAGTAGGGGTCCGAGGCGAGCCCCAGAGCCACTGTACCCTCGACGCAAGGTGCAGGACCCGCCGGTCGTACACGAGCTGCGGGTGTCCCTGGAGGAGATCTACCACGGCTCCACCAAGCGCATGAAGATCACGAGGAGACGCCTCAACCCGGACGGGCGAACTGTGCGCACCGAGGACAAGATCCTGCATATTGTCATCAAGCGCGGTTGGAAGGAAGGCACCAAGATCACCTTCCCCAAAGAGGGGGACGCCACACCCGACAATATCCCTGCTGACATCGTTTTTGTCCTCAAAGACAAGCCTCACGCACACTTCCGCCGAGATGGCACCAACGTGCTCTACAGTGCCCTGATCAGCCTCAAAGAGGTGAGGTTTGGGAGACTGGGGACCGGGGAGGGGGCGCATGGGCGTATGTGCGCGTGCATGCACGTGCTCACGTGTTCTGGGGGAGATGATGGGAGATTGTTCCCACCAGCTGGGCTATTCTTTCCCACATCAATCATTTTCCTCTCTTCCCACTCTGCTCCCACGTCTTCCTCACGTTCCCTCATTTCCCCCCACCAGGCACTATGTGGCTGCACGGTGAACATTCCCACCATCGATGGCCGAGTGATCCCTTTGCCCTGCAATGATGTCATCAAGCCAGGCACCGTGAAGAGACTCCGTGGGGAGGGGCTTCCCTTCCCGAAGGTGCCCACCCAGCGCGGGGATCTCATTGTTGAGTTCAAAGTTCGATTCCCAGACAGATTAACACCACAGACAAGACAGATCCTTAAGCAGCACCTCCCCTGTTCCTAGGCTTTACCCAGTCAGCCCAGAGTCTACCACAGCAATACCCCCTATTACCCTCACTCAGTGTGGCCCAGCTCAATGTCCACAGGACATGGACAACATTTACTAAATGCAAAAAAAAAAATAGGCCACTGGTTTTCAGGAAAATGTTTCTTGTCCTTGACCCTCCATACAGCTGGGCTGCCTTCGGAGAGTGGGGGCAGTAGGGAGAGCTGGCCCAGTGCAAGGGTCAATTTTCATGTCACTAGTTATGAATCCAGTTCCCACTCAAGTGGCTGGAGAGTGACCTGAGTGCTACTTGAAGCTAGAGCTTCCTTGTCCACGCCTGTAAATAGCATGTCCTCCTTCCTCTCTCAGCTTTGCTGATAACTTTCCTCTCCCTTCTCTGGCCTCCTAACAGAGGAGGAAGAGAATAGAAAGGATACAGCTTTACCACCTCCACCCAAGGACCGCAGTGTCCACACTCAGAGCGCCAAGTTACCATACCCATATTCACGCATCCGAACCACACACCAAGAGCTGTCTCTAACTCTCTAGGGTTGAGATAGGAAGGGAAGATCACAAGACAGCCCCCCAGGAATAGGACCCTTGAGCACGAGACACTTTTCATTCGGGGCAAGGAGCTGAACAAGGCCCTCAGCAGCCTCCCGATAGCTCTGCCTGCACACCCCAGAGCAGGACAGTCTGTCCTCCTTACTGCTCTGGGTGTGTGCAAAGGCAGGGGGTGGAGGGGAGCACTTGCTGTCTTAAGGCTAAGAGATAGGAAGCAGTGTCCACCACCCAGTCCTCATCAGGGAGGGAAAGGGCTTTGGGGGCAGGCAGCAGCTATTCTCCATCAAGAGATTCAGGGTCACAGGTTTCTTCCCACACCTCTGAACTCAGGGCCTTGCCACCCTCAAACTTCCAAATCCCACTTTTGTGATATGTGAAGCTACTTATTTCTTATCCATCCTGGAGGCTGTGTGGGGACTGTCCAGCCCTTTTATGCCTATGTAACCCCACCCCATCCCCACAGTTATGCAAAGGTCAATTAGTGAAGGAGCTGGGAGAAAGACTGGTTCATCTGGTTACTGGGATGGGGTCTTTAGATTTTCTCACTTTGACAAGCCCTTGAATGTTTTTATAGTAGTTTTTTTGTATTTTTTTGTAATGACAGTATTATGGGGGGGAAATAAAGTATTTTAAAAATAGGACATCTGAGCAAGAGTAATGAACCTTGGATGAGGGTGGGGGTGTGCTGTCATGTCAATTTCCATCAAGGTCCATGGTCACCTCTGAATAGCAGGCCCATATAGATAAAGCAGACTCCTTTCCTTCCCTGAAGTTCAGGCTCCCAGAATTCCATATACATACACCTTAAACAGTACAAATGGAAGACTGCATCAGTTGGTTATTAGAACAAAGATATGGAAAGAATAAATAAACTTGGTTACAAAAAACAGAGACCATCTTCTTCAAAGAATATGGTAGCATGAAAATGGATATAGATTTTGAGACAAAAATGGATTGAAATCTTCCCTGGAGAGAAATTTTCTCCTAAGAAAGGATAGCGTTTTCTTGCTGACCAGAAGAGACACACCTCCAAGAACAGGATCTGATAGAACAGACACAGTGACTTTAATTACCTAAACTCCTTGGTCCATGTTGGCAGAAGTAGCTTGGGATACAGGTTACTTAGGAGGCTGTAAACTCAATTTCTGATTCTTGACTTTCACTGTATTCTAGTAATATCTGGCCTGGCCTCTGACCCAATGCAGAGTCAACTCAGGACCTCCTGCCTGATCTGACACTTGTCACTCACCTTGCATCTAAGTAGAAAGGATTTATTGTAGTCAAAAGAAGACCCATCTGAGGGCTCTGCTAGGTCTAATGTTCCTCATAATGCAGACTTTCCTTCTTTCATGAAGTTCACACTGAGTGCCCAGATTCTTCTCCAAGATCCGGGCCATGATTGACACACTCCTAGTTCAGGGTCCCCACTGCCATGAAGAAGTCTCTACCTTCAGCTGACTTGTGCTCCATACTGAGGATGACATGGACTTGGCTGTTTTCAGGGAAACTTCCTAGTCTTTAACTTTTTTCTAAGGAAAAACGTGGTAAGGAGTACCCGTGGTGGACAGTGTTGGCTGGAGCTTCCCGACTAAAACAAACCTGGAAGTAGGAGCGGCATCCACTTCCGAAATGGCTTTCCTCCAGAAACTCTATGTACAAACAAAGCTCAGGCCTTTCGTTCATAGGGTCGCTATGAGTCGTCTACGACTCAGTGGCACCTAACAACAATAACAACGACGACATAGAGATACGTTGGCCTAGTGGGAAGAATGTTATGCTACCAAGCTGAAGGTGGGTGATTTTAATCTGCGGCCCTCAGGCCATGTTCAAATTGTTTTCCTGTCAAAGATTCTTCTAAGTGGTATAGCACTGGTCTGTGCGTTGCTGTACAGAGGAGGTAACTCATGGTTGCTGTGATGCTGAACACTGGGACACTGATGTGCCAAACGTGGTAATAGTTACCCATGGTAGACAGTGTTTGCTGGCGCTTCCCAACTAAAACCAGCCTGGAAGCAGGAGCGGCATCCACTTCTGAAATGGACTTGCCTCCAGAAACTCTGTGTACGAACAGTGCTCAGGCCTTTTGTTCATAGGGTCACCATGAGTTGTCTACGACTCAACGGCACCTAACAACAACAACAACAGTTAGAAGACATTGATTCTTCTTTGGTCTTCCTTATTCATTATCCAACTTCCAGATGCATAAGAAATTACTGAAATAACATATCAGATAAGGGACTTATATCCAGAATTTATGAAATACTTGAGCACCACAACAAGATAAAGGTAAATAATCCAATAGAAAAATGGGC